GGTTTGTGGTTTGTGGTTTGTGGTTTGTGGTTTGTGGTTTGTGGTTTGTGGTTTGTGGTTTGTGGTTTGTGGTTTGTGGTTTGTGGTTTGTGGTTTGTGGTTTGTGGTTTGTGGTTTGTGGTTTGTGGTTTGTGGTTTGTGGTTTGTGGTTGTTTGCTGCTTACCGGTAGATGGGCGTCACGTGCTTGAAGACGATGCCAATCTCCATAAATATGATTTTGTTGACCGGAAATGAGACCACTTGCGGGCCATCCACAGCATAAAATACCGGATCTCTGCACATAGCTGCTGCTTAGCAACGACACGACACGACACACACACCACACACACACACACACACACACACACCACACACACACGCACACACACCACACAACGATACACGGGCGTACCCCTGTGGTGGTGAGGAGACGAGGGAGTTCTTGGAGGTGGAAAATATCTCGACGTAGGGAGAGCAGCCCTTGTCGAAGTTGGGGATGGTGTGCATGATCACCTCGCGCAGCACGAGCGCTTTCGCCGACGGCACCCGTCCCTTGACGTACACCTGCTCGAAATATTGCACCGACCTATCACACCACAATTACATTAAGTAATATGTACATTTTAAATAGCAGCACATACGAATTGTTAGAAAAGTGAGTGGAGGAATTCATCGGCGTTAACTGAAATGAACGCCCACCCTCCGGCCGCAAACGTTTGGTGGTGATCAGCAAATGGGAGAAAATTGACGTACCGGACTTGGGAGGGGTTGGTCACGCCCCACATGGTGATCGAGCGCTTGCAGGCAAAGTAGCGCAGCGCCTTGTCCGCCGTGGAGAAGAGGCCGCTGTAGATCAGGTAGGCCGCGATCGCCGTGCCTGTTCGTCCCTTGCCGGCCTGCGCATGGACCATCACCATCACCATCGCCATCATCGCCACCGCCAAGAACGAGAAACGTGAGAATTGGGCGGGCAAGCAGAGAGAGAGAGAGAGGACACGAGGGGCAGCTGAGTNGGCCGACCG